CCTTATGCATTTAACCGGTGTGAAATAATTAAAGACACAGAGAATGAGCTTTTGATTTAAATTCTTCACTTGGTAGCAAACGGGACATTGAAAGTACAAATCACTGTGATCCCCCGCCCACTGTTTTGGTTGTTGCATCAATATGTGACAAAAGAGGCCAGAGAGAGAGTGCAGGGGCGAAGGGGAATGCCTAGCATATGCCCAACCCAGGCTCCATCCTCAAAACCACATGGTTCACTGAGCACCACCACTGATATGACCTAAGTGACCCTCAGGAACACAGGGGCGACATGGAAGATACACTGCATCCTCTGGCCCTCACATTTAACTGCCAGTTTATTTTGTATAAAATTATCCAGAGTAGCCCCCAGACCTCCTGAAGACTTCTTAGGAGTTCCCCCACCCTCACCCCCAAATATAGTCTTACTCCAATGATAAACTCTTTGTCATTTTCAAAATGTTTTCAAGTAAAACCAATGAAAGATAATAAGATCTCTAGATATTTGAGGCAATTCTCTTTCTGAGTATGAACTTTGATTTTTTTCATATTTTCCCCCAAGGATAGCAAAATTTCCAGTTTCCACTGAAATCACTGCTTTTTTTTCCCATGAAGGTAAGGCATATATTTATATTCTTTTAACCTGTAATTTGATGATTTATGTTTTTCACCCTAAAATCTTAATAATAGTCTTTCTCTGTCATATATCCCCTTCCTCTAAGAAGACTGAGGAAAATGTGAAAAAAAAGAAAGAAAAAAGAAAAATTGTTTGTAGTTGGTGGATTTATTGCCCACTCTTGACAATTTTTAGGAAAACTTTAATCTGCTACTTTTGAATTCAAAAGTTGTTGACTGATTGTTGGAAAGCAGGGCCAGGTAGGGGAGACTATTTTAAAACCTTAAGGTGTATCTTCAGAAGTATGGATTTTGAGATTTATGGAAACTAGGTTAATGGTATTTTAAAAAGGGAAACATGGCTTTTCTCTGAAAAGAGTTTTGGCTTTTTAATAGTTTGGTGGTACACTTTTTTAGTGTTTAACAGAACGAGTACCAAAGTTTCAGTATTCAATTTTTTGCATTTGCTTTAAAATGGAGAAAGCTTCATAAACCATAATTCTGGGTCCTCCAAAAGACAGAATTGCTGTACCATAACAAAGTCCCTATTCTTTCTTGGAGCTCAAAAACTTGCCTCCTCCATCCCTTTCAATAGTCCCACAGCACATACTTCTCCCAAACCTACTGTTTTTCTTGTTGAGCCTCCCAAGCTGTGACCAGCTGGCCCAGGGAGCCCCACCAGCTATTCTTGGCCAACTGGGTCAGTGGTTCACTGCAAGGTGATGTGGTGCTGAGGACTGTCCAGGCCACCCTGACCGTGCTGGGGGACTAGAGCTGCACTTGGTGATGCTCAGAGATCATGTAGCGCTGGCATCAAACCTGTCAGGTGTATGTACCCTAACCGCTGTACTATCTACCAATCCCCCCAAACCTACTTTTATTCAATTCTGCCATCTTCCAAGATCAAAGTTTTCTAAATTTCATCCTTATTCAAACCCTTTGTTTACATTTTAAATTTGTAATTTTGCGCTTTGAATTCTGCTATTATTGAAATACTGAACTAGACAGCACAGCTGAAGAATCCATTTGGTCGAACTGCTATACGCAGACAGATTAGAAGAACCTGAATTCAGTTGGGTTGGAGAGGCAAGACTAAAACATGTCATCAGGCAAGTAAGGGAAGGTAGATCCCAAATAATCAAAGCAAATTAGTAAGCCACCACCACTACTACATCAATAAACAACTGTAGACTCTGGAACAATATGGTGGTTAGGGGCCAGAGGTATGAAGGTGCTTGTTCTGCACAAGGCAGACCCTGGTTTGTATCCCCAGCATATGGGATCCCCAGAACCACCAGAAGAGGTCACTGAGCACAGAGTCAGAAGTAAGATATGAGCACAGCTGGGTGCGGCTCCAGAACAAACAAACAAACAAAAATTATGATTGCAAGAGGAAGGGTGAAGTGTAGAGGAAGGATAAGATGAGAGAGAAAATCACCGAGTGCTCTATTTCCAAACGTTGATAATACTGTCCCCTAGGGGGCGCTAGAATGCTCCAGGGTGGGGTAAGAATTTTGATCACTATAGCAGGGAGCATATTTCTTTACTCTTTTTCAATTTTTAAAATCTTTGACTGGAAATTATTATTTTTCTTGTATTTTTATATTTATTTTTTCTTTTTTGGACAAACTGGCAGGCTACCGAATGTAGCCTGCCCACACGGCAGAGTCTGGCAAACTCCCCGTGGCGTACCCAATATGCCAAATACCAGTAACAATGATGGGTCTCATTCTCCTAAAGAGCCTTGAATATAATCTCAGGGCTAGGATGAAGGAGACGTTACTGGGGCCTGCTCGAGGCAATCGACGAATAACAGGATGATTTGTGATTTTGTGATTTTTTCTTTTACAAATTAATTTTATTAAAGAAAAATGGTTTGCAAAATAGTTAAATAGTTGAGTTTTATATATATACAATGTTTTAGCACCAATTCCCCCACCAGTGTAAACTTTCCTCCACCAGCAAGGTACAGTCCTCCTGGCTCCCAGCCTGTCACCTTGACAGACATATTTTAAAGGTAGGTGTTTGTAGTTTGGATCTTTTGTTTTGGGTGTTGTGGACTCTGACTTGGATATACAACTGTATCATTTCCCCCTCATTACCGATGTACCTGAGGCCCGACCTCTGCTAGAGGAAAGCATTTTTCTGATTGCTTTAAGAAGGTCCATTCCCAGGGATGCAGGGAGTGATTTTTCTTGCAGAAAGGGGGCCGGAGGTCAAAGAAGAAATTAATTTGGGAATCTCTGTGCCAACGGGTATGGCACTAGAACTTTGGCAGTGGTATGGTGAGGCCATACACAGATGGAGGTTTAAGTAGCCCTCCCAGAAATCATGCAGGATTAGAAATTAATGGTGGATCTGTACAATTTTGTCAGAAATCAACAACAAAGAGGATGTCATCAGGTAGTAGGCCCTTATATACATTATCTGGTATAAAGGCTGGTTGTGGGCTCAATTGTGGCCAATACTGCCCATATTCAGATCCAGCTCTGCCACCATTCCATGCCTGTCCCATATCTGCTGCCATGTGACAGTCTCTTAGGTTGTTGTTTTTGGTATGGAGCAAAACAAGGCACCACACTCAAAAAGTATGTGCTCTCCCTTGAGCTACATTCCAAGCTTACACACAACCATCTAACCATCTTTACTGCGATCTCTTGTGGCACTGATGCCATGAGCCTCAGCTTGGTTTTCTTTTTTAAAGATGCTTAAGGGCTCATTAACCCTCATTGGGATAGTCCCTTCTGGCTGTAGGCTGGGCTCTTAGCAGGTATGTGGCCTGAGATTCCCCATTGCAAGGCAGCAGGACTCCAAGGACCAGAGTTCTGAGGGAGGGCCAGCGGGCGGGGTCAGCTATCAATCACCTCTTCTGCTACTTTTACTCATCACAATCAGGTTTCTAACAAGTACTTGAGAGGAGGGCAATGAGATTCATTCCTTTATGGTAAAAGAGTCCAGGAATCGGTGGACGTGTCTTCAAGCCAACATAGTCACTTCTTTGCTGGGACATCTCTCCGTTATTGACTTTTCCTGACCTCGAAAACAAGAATACTCAGGGTCGTTGACCTCCCAGTTCTTTATGAAGATGAAAGAAGAATCATAGCCAGTGCTCCATGGTTTATCCTAGACCGAAATTACCATGCCTTCTGCAGGTCTGAATCGATACTGCTGGTGTCATCAGGGCTGATACAGTTCCAAGCAGATACGGCCTGAGGAACCTTTCCAAACCCTACTGACAAATCCCAGCGACTCTTACGCTGTGGGATCAGTTACTATATATGGTCTGAATTCTTTGGTTCACCTCATTTTAGTGACAGTTTCCAGATATAGGTCAGCCACTTAAACCTGGCCCCATTTATGGCAATTTATTTCATTATAGGATAAAGCAGCTAGAGCCCTGAGTAATAATTACTGTGTCTACAGTGCTTTTAACACCTTGGCAAAGTAATCCTCACCTCGCCCAATGAGTAACTCTGAACTACCTTCCCTCCTCCAGGAGGAAGAAACCAGAACCAGGGTCAAATGGCTTGTTCTAAATTCTATGAATAGGGGGGAAAAAAAAGGCCAGCTGAGGGAGAAGTTGGAGGTCCTGACTCACTGACTCTCCAACACGCAGAATAATATGCAGATCAACACCCATTTTCACATAACACTCCATCCGGATCATTATTCAGTGGCCTTTAACACATTCTAGGTGGACACTTGAAATTTCTCTTATGCCAGCTTTTATTTTCTGTAACAGAGAACTGGCCAGTATTTAGCATAAAGTGAGCCTATGCCACGAAAGCAGTGAAGCGGTAAGAAAAAAAAAAAAGACTGCCACTCTGAACACTTCTTTTCCTGGTCAAATTCATGGTTTTTGGGGGTGATGCTTGGGCACTTTTTTTTTTTAAATCTAGGGGAGGAGGAAATACCGAGAACACTTCCGCTCTTCGCCAGGATCTCCCCCTCACCCCCAGCAGTCGCGTTTCTCCCTGGATGTCAGTAAATCCGGGCGTTCTGCAACGCGGCAGGACCGTGCGGGAGGTGGTGGTAGGGACTCCCCGCGCGCCCCAGGACTGAACCCCCGGGGCCGGGCTGCGCCCCGCTGCCGAGGCTGCTGCCCGCGCTCACCTGGGGGCGCTGTGCCGCCGGAGGTGAGTGGGCCGGCGAGGCGGTGGCTGTCCCGGGTGCGGGGCTCGGAGGGGCGAATCCCGGGCTGCGAGGTCGCCGCCCCCGCCCCTCGGCCAGCCCCTGGGCCGGCGGCAGAGAGGAGGAGTGGCCGGCGCGTGCAGGGGAGCGCGGGGCGCGCCTTCCAGAGCGCTGGCAGCCGTGGGACCGCGTCCGCCCAGCAGCTGGGACCGAGCGACCGCCGCGGGAAGCCCCCTCATCGCCTCCCCCCCCCCCACCCCCGCCACCTCCGAGCGGGCCTGCGACCCCGGCGCCCGGGAAGGGACGACTCCGGCTAGGCGGCGCCCACCGAGGTAGCTCGAGCGCATCCCCGCTCCTTCCCTTCTCCCCGGGCTCTCCGGGCTTGGACCCTCCGCGGCGCCTTCGCGGGCCGAGGAGACGGTCGCTTTGCACGCTTTTGCGCCCCCCCCCCGATTTCTCGGGGTGGGGGGCTAGGGAGGGAGGGTGGATCCACGCACCGCGCGGGGTCTGCAGCTCTCTCCTTCCCGGGCGAGGAGGGCGGTGCTGCGGAGAGCTCCCCCGCGCACACCGGGGGTCGCCGCGCAGGGTGGTCGCGACTCTGCAGATGCTTGGAGTGGGGGGGGGGGTGGCGGTCAGGGTGCGGTGGCGATGGAAAGAACACCGCCGGGGAAACTAAAGTTGCTCTGACTTTTGCCCTGTACCTGTGTGGGTAAAGTGGGAGAGTCCCATCTCCTCGCGGTTCGCCTGCACCCACCCGCTCCATCCCTCCGACCCACAGCTGCTTCCTGGCCCGCGGATTCTAGGGAAGGACGTGGTGGTAGTTGGTCGCCCACTCCGGGAAGGAAAGCGGAGGGAGAACAATGGGGCGTCCTGGGGAGCGGGGTTCAGGTGCGGCGTGCTCCGGCGCCGGCGGGGCCGGCCGAGGGGCCGGGGGACTCGACGGGGCTTCCTGCGCGTGCAGCTGCGCTCTCCTCCTTTGTTCCGCCGCCGCGCAGGGGGCTGCCCGGGCTCCCGTTTCCTGCCCGGGATGGGATTGATTCGCAGTGCCCGGGAGGGCAGGGGAGGGGGGCGGGACTGGAATGGAAACCAGATTGGGAACCCGAGTCTGGGAGGGTGCCTGGGGCCGGCCTGGGGGAAGGAGAGGGGCTTGCTGAGCGTGCGCTGGAGAGTTGATTACAAACACCCAGCAGACCCGGGGGCCTGCGGGTTTCTAGAGCGTCTTTGTAATGCTTTGTTCAGCGTGCAGCGGTGCGTTTATTGCTGCAACAAGTTGGGTACTTCCTTGAGTTCTTGGCGCTCCCGATCTTAGTTTGCTAAAATCAAATCCTTGTTAGTTACAGTGGAAGACTTTTGTTGTTGTTGTTGTTGTTTAGCATGAGTCAGGCTATTTATTTGTATGTTTGCTGTGCCTGTGGAGATCTGTGTGTGTACAGAGTGAATGTTGGGAGGGTGGGTCTACCAGAAAATTGGGCATTGCTGAATTAGTGAATCAATGATGTAACGTTGAGTTGAAAAAAACCTTTCCAGAAAGCACACCCCAAACTTTGGATTTTGAGTTGGGAAGCCAACAACATCTGTGTTTTCCCTCTCCCTGTGTGGGTAGTCTGGAATGAGAAAGAGAACACTTACCATTATGGTGAGTGGGTTTTTTTTTTTTTTAAAGGGAGAGGTAGAATTAAATGTAAATTGTCAGGCATTTGTTAAGTGACCATTGGTAGATTGGAATCAGCCAATCCCAGGAGGATTGGCTGACCTGGGAGGGAATCTTGGGGGATTGAATGATGAGTGTTTTTTGAATGGAGTATTCCAGGCAAAACTGTTTGGGGAGGAGGCTGACATTTCCAGGCATTCATGCTTTGTGCCTGTGAGACATTGATGGAAGGAACCCAAAGTCAGACTGAAGGTTAGAATTACTGCGGTGATAATTTAGGAGACATTCAGTTATAAGTTTCTGGTTTCAGGGACTGGGGTGTCACCCCTGCCTTTGCTTTTTTGATAAGCCCTTGAGGGTCTACTGTTAAACCATCCTATTTAGCCATTCTTTTGGAAACCATCGGGTTTGAAAGCCTCTTAATTGCAGAAGGCATTCAGAGGCATTTACTCTGGGGGTAGGGGGTGGAGAGCACGTTCCCTGCCCACAAGTGGTAATGGAAAAGAGCTGTACTAGCTACTGCTGAGGGTTTTTGTCTTTTCCATGGAGGATGTGGTCAGATTTTTAGGCCTGGCTGAAAAGCAGTGGGACTTGTCCTCAGGAGCCATTATGATGTGAAGTTGAAGTGGGATGTTGGCCAGCTGTCAAGCTGTTTGTCGTTAGGAGTAACACGCTGTCTGGCAAAACATTGTGCAGTGAACAGAGAGAGACTTCTCTCAGTTTTCTTGATGTTGCAAATTGTTCTGGAAGGTACTGCACAGTTGGATTCCTTCTTGGTACTCACTGCACTTCATTTTAAGCATAGTTGAAAACTCACTCTTCTAGAGACAGACGAATCTTTTCTATGGCTGTAGCCTGTACTTGGGGTGCCCTGTAATGAAACGGGTTCCGGAGGGGCTCAGCAACGCGATGGTATACCGCTTTCTGGGAACCATCATAAGTTTGTTCCACCTGGACTTGCCTTGGACTCCTCCTAGTTCTTGGGGAGTTCTGCAAACAGCAGGGGGATTTTGACCCAAGTGAGTAAGGAGCAGGGTGTGGAAAATAGTTTTCGCCCCAAAATCAGTTTTCAGGATGTACTAACCATGTGTTTTTTTTTTTGGCATTTATTCTTCTATTTGGGTGAGATTCTCTACGTCCCCTCCATCTCTTCTGTTTTCTATCGCTGGACATTTGGATATTAACAAAAGAATAACAAGATTTAGAGTTGTCACTTAGAAGTTTTTTGTGTGCTTTTAAAAAAATATGTACATTGATTTATTCTCACAACGCTTGGTAGAAATGGGTATTGTCTCAGTTTTACAGTTCAGTCAGAGCTAAGGAATTTTGCTGTCTTGTTTCCCAAGTGGTAGGAATGAGACTTGTATGTCTGAGTGCACGGTCTGTACTCTGTAGTGTACATTGAGCGGCATCTTTTTTTATGCTCAGAACAGCAACAGTTTGATGACCTATTTGATGAGCCCTTTGCAGATTTCCAAGGACTTTCACACATCCTGGTTGGTCCTTCCGAAAACCACTTGCCCTATAGGCTTGGAAGTCCAGATAAGTGACATCGCAACTCAGCTGGTGTTTGGAAACCTTCTTTTGCTGTGTGCCAGCTTGTGTGAATATGCCTCAGTGAATGAAACTTTATTTTTAAAAAGTTAAGCCTGCCAGCATTTGAAAACAAGGTTCTTTCTTGGAAGCACTTAAAAGTAGAGGGAACAGCGCAGATCTTATATAACCATTCAGGCATTTTATAGTTAGTGAAATCCATTTTAGCCCCTTTTTATCTGACAACCGTTATTAGAACCCCATACTTAGCTTCTTTATGGACACCCAATGCCTGAGTGTCTTTAAAGAAGACAAACGCAGAAGGGAGGAATGTGATTCTAAAGAGGAAGTGGGACATCAGAATTGGAAACATACACAGCAGCAGGCTGTAGACTTTCCCAGCACATGCTCTGGGTCTGGGCAGTCGCCCTTTCCAGAAGACATTCTTCCGCAGGGAAGTGTCAAGGGTCTGCCTTGACAGGATCCTTTGAGATCATCACGTTGCTGAGCTCTGTGGGAACACCCCGTCCTCAGGGTTCCTGTGCATCTCTTCCCCACAGGGGAAGTGGGTGTGCTTAGGCCGCAGTGAGCAGAGGGAGTGGAGGAGGTGTCTCTCTGTCTTTGGGGGAGGAATGGAGAGTGCTGGCTGGATGGCACCTGGCCTTGAACCATGAGCGACCACCCAGTGAGATAAAGTTTTAACACGTGGCCTCATCAATTATTCACTAGCTTTTCAGAATGCACCTGGGCAAAGGGACCAGCATTGGCCTTTTGTTTTTAACTCAAGACTTTGAAGACCCAGACATGGTACCTTTTTGTTTGTTTTAATCTGGAATGGTTTGTGTGTGTGTATGTGTGTGTGTGTGGGGGGGGGGTTCTTCAGGGATGTGGGGAGGTGGTATTAATTTTTGTTTCCTCATGCCATTAAATTCTCCCTGGTAAAGAGGCCAGCTGATTCCTGGCTACTGAGTTCTGCCTTACAGGGAGCACTTTTGGCTCTCTTGGCTGAGAAGGCCTGAGATACCTGGGAGCTTTGTTCTTTCAGCCTTTGAGTTTTCCTTTTGGGTATCGGTAACATCTTCATCAATCCACATTAAAACCACAGTTGATGCAAGGCCATACATTAGAAAGCTGGAAGACAAATCCTGCTTTCCTCCAAGGTTGCCGAAATGCAGAGTATTGAGTGAGTCTGGGGAGCTGATGTTACAAAATCATGGTGATAGCTTTGGTGACCAAGGCCCCTGCCAAAGCTGGCAACCAAAGCATGCCTTGTCAGAGAAAATGAGCACAGCGCTGGTTCCTTCCACAGATTCATTTCCTCCAGCCAGAGATGATGGTCAGGTCTTTGGCAGTTGTTTCTGCAGGCTGGATCTTAGGAAACAATGTTCTGGTGAATTTGGTGTCTGAGGAAAAGAGTGAAGGGTATTTCAGAACCTGAGGATTTAGGGGAGGAAGCAGTGGATTACCTGGTTAACCCTGGCAAGTGGCAAGATGTTGGTGACTTTCTACTCTCTTGCCATGATACCTGCCCGCATTCCGTCCACATCTCGTGTTCGGTCTAACTCGTCAGTTCCATGCCATGAAGGCTGTCCAGGGGGCTCAGGCAGATTTGCACAAGGGACAAAGAATGCAAGTCCCCAGTGAATGACTCACACGTTTTATGGGACATGCATGCCGCAGTTGATCAAGTGTTGGGTGAGGGTTCTCTGCAGCTGGTTCTGTTTCATCTCCTCACTCCCTTTCTGTGGGAGTAATGTATAGGGGAGGAAATGGATCACTCCTGCTTGGGTTGAGATCAAGGCTCAAGCCTGTGAGCTTTCTGGGACAACAGCACTTTCAGGGGCAACATCGCTCCTCAGGCAGCAGTGTTCTGTGCCTCCGGCCCACTCTTCTCTCTCCCAGCCTCCAGGATTGTTCCTCTGTTGTCTGGAAACCAGGTTCCTGTGCATTTCTTGGGATAGTCCAGAACCTAGAGATTTGGTTGAAAAATACTTCTCAGTTTCTCCTCCTTTTCTGGGCCTTGCATGTCACTTTCTCATCCTGCGGCGTTCTCTTTCCCTAAATGAGAGAAACTTGGTGTCAACAGTCTCTGTGAAGGGAGATGGAGGGCTCAGTCCTGCCTGGGAGCTTTCTCCTGGGCTCTCAGAT